ATCCCACAGAAGCCATGATCACATCCACGGGGAGCTCCTCTCCGCTGCGGGCGGTGACCTGCATCGTCACGGTGTCGGTCAGGACCAGACGAGAGCGGACCAGGAGGTCGTGGCCACCCCGGAACACACCTGGAAGGGAAAGGGGGAGGAAGGAGTGAGGGCTCCCCTGCAAGCTTAAAAATTAATACAGCTGCATGGCAAGGGCAGGTTTCTCAGAGGGAGTCTGGCAAATCCCCAGCAGTGGGTCAGGAGAGACCCTCAAGCAGCCTTGTTCTCCTTCATTGTAACATACTTGGGACTCTTGCTACTGTAAAACTAATGAAAGCAAAGTCTAAAATAAACTCCAGCTGAGAAGAGGTCCAGGCACTCCTTGAGTGACTATCAGTCACTCGTCTTAAGAGCCCCAGTACACATCCATTTTGCTGGGCAAGGCTGCTGTCCTTTCTCCGACAGGTTCACTCCAAACCAGGATGCCACAGACCATGAAGACAACAAATTCCATTGAGCTGAGCCCAGGGCTGATCCCAACACCCCCCCAGCACCCAACACCAGCCCCTCTACACCTGCAGAGACAGAAACCGTGGCAGGAACAAGCCTCCAAATCCCACCCGGAGTGCAGTGGGCTCCATCAGCAACTCCTGCCCCAATTTCCAACAGGCAGCTCTGTGCAACCTCCCAAAGAGCTGCTCCTCAAGCAGAGGCCTCACCCCACAGCTCACCTGCCAGGTACAGTGTGTGAGAGTTCTTGTTATCTGGTACTTTATCCGACCGCTCACAGGGCTGCATCCCCAGGAACTTCACAATATTGCTGACTGCCTCTGTTAAGAAAAAAAATAAATCAAACAGGCCTCAAGTCATGGGTGTCTTAAAAGGGACAACCAAAGAGCATCTAAAGGTGACCCAAGCCCTCCCTACATGTTAGGGTTCATGTTCCTTGTCCTGAGGGACACACAGCATTGGCCACTACCGTGTTTTTGGAGGGCACCAGGGAGGCAAAGGCAGCACACACAAACCCCACCACCACATGGCAGTTCTGTTATCTGATGCAGCAAAGGTGCAACAGAAACAGGAGGGTGGATGAGTCAGACAACGGAAGCAGGAGAGTGCAGCTGGCTGCACGGTTACTGCACAGCCCTGACAGCCTGCTTGCTTCTCTGGGGACAGATGGAGAAAGAAGGAGACACAGATCTTCAGGAGGAATCTGAAAAGGCCTCAGGGAAGGTATTTCATGCCCAAGGTGCAGTATAAGGAAGCACAGGGATGGCTACAGGACAAGGACACCCTTCTAAGCCATCAAAAGGACTGAGTTTTTACAGGCTCCTCAGAAACGACAAAAGGAGTCTTTAATGTATGATGAAAGAGGGCTTACACCACAAGCCTGCCCACCAACCTCATGTCTTCTGCTCTTTGCATCTTTTTTTATTAGTCTTGATTCCTAAGGTCAGAGCATCTCCTCCTTTCACAGAAGGAAAGTGGGAGCTCACAGCTGAACTATGGTTTGTCTGCTTGGGAGGGTAAAGTGTGAGAGCAAAGCAAGATGTTCTCTTGCCTCCCACAATCCAGCCTGGTCTCCACAGGGCCCAGAAACTAATTTGAGTTTTTTTTAAACCTGAACTAACTTGTTATCACAGTAACTGCAGCTCTGCAGTAACCATAGCTCTGCATTTACCAGCTGCAGTGAAACAGCTTGTGAAGGGTTTTGCTCCATTAGACTTTCTGTGAGAGATCTGAAGTGAGCCAGACTGCATCTCTGGCCTCTGCCTGCTGGAGGGACAGGAAAGTTCAGAGCTCTGCTGTGCTCAGGCACCCTCTTACCTTCCAGGGTTTTAATAGCAGATAAAGTAAAGGTCTCTTCCTTTTCATACTCGTCACCCACTTCATCCCAGGCTGCTCCAAAGTTTGGCTTCAGAACTCGCTGGATGTGATCTGCCACGGTTACCTCCAGGTCTTCAAGCTGGTGGTAGAAGAGGTTCAAGTGAAACATGGTTGTTCCTAACCCTGCTCTCTCCAAAGCGAGCTTTAGAGTGGATTCCCTGAGATCAGGTGAATGTAGGAGACAGCCTCCACTTCCACTTGTGAATGTGTCAGAGCAAGTCCTGCCCCTTCCGAATTGCTCATGCAAACAATGCTTAGCTGAGCAACTTGCTTGGCCTGGGAAAGCCACTGGTCGTCCCACGTCCAGGGTTTACAAAGCAGGTTCCTGTTCTGAGTATGGCCCTTGGACTGACAGAGATCAAAGCACCAGACAAATGCCCAAATCAGAGGACAAAAGCTAAGAAGTGCTCACACAGATGTAGAGTTTGCTTCCCTGAAATGCACATAAGCTTGTATTTTGCCTTCCTGGCCCATCGTTTTGTAGGCTGGTAAAGTACAGTGAGACACTGTCAGACACATGTTACCACCTAACGCTGCAAGCCAGGTTAGCTGAACTGCTGCTGTGACTGTGTCTGTGCAAGGCAGAACCCAGCCTGTCCCTCCAGAGCACGTATGGAAGAGCAGTCAGGGGCAGAGCTGGCCAGACACCAGCCTGCAGTCATCTCAGCAATTGCTGAGGAATCGCAGGAAAGAATCTCCTCCTGATTCTAGTTGAAACACATGGAAGAGTTTGTTTAAATATCACTCAAAAGCTGTGATGACTGGTGGGAAGCAGAGAGGGGTTAACCTAGCACATTCCATTGGGAAAAACCCTCCCCACTCCATTTGGGAATAGCTGTGTCCTCAGTGGCTCACTGCACAGCAGTGCCTTTAATCAGATTCACAGCAGTGACAGGCAATGCGTAGAAAACAGCCCCTGGAGCTAACAGGTCAAGCTGAGGTTGTGTCACAACATCCCTTCCTCTCCAGAGGGTAAACACCACCTTCTGTGAGCCAGTCCCAGCTTCTGATAAAGCCTAAATTCAGCTTCTTCCTTTGTGGTAGAACAGCCTGCCTGGAAATGGCAGAGCATGATACAGAGGTGCTTCTGCAGCATCGGTGATTTATCAGTCTTAGTGCTGGAGAGGGAAAAGCCCCACCTTCCCCAGAGCAAGAACAAGGATGGCAAGCTGCCTGTATCAGGCAGGCCACCAGGCAATTAACTGTGTCACCACAGAGAGCAACTTATGGAGAACAAAAGACGGCCAGTAGCCCTCTGTCTCCACAAATGTGACCGTGCAACCACTGGAAGCTGTAGGGCACAGCCACCCAAGCCTGGAGGACACACCATGGACTCCCAAAACATAGGTACCCTGCACAGTCAGGTGTCCACCCAGAAAGCAACAGGAGGATACTTCAAACGAGACAGAGCGAGCTCTCCAAACCCACATCTGCATCCTGCAACAGACACCACAGAGACAGCAAGAACCCCCTCTTCAAGTGATGCTGCCCACATCAGTGTCAGCAGTCACAGTTACTTGCAGGGATCCAAGTACAGATCACAAAAACCTTCAAAATGGCTGCAGTTTCCGTGACCAGGGACACACCCAGCTCCTTACCACATACTCATCCTCGTAACCTTCGTCATCCGTCTCACCCGTGTTTGGATCACAGTCCTTGACAGTGAATTTCATCATGCAGCTGAAGGTACAGGCCACTGGAGATGGGGGAGGCAAAGGCAAAGCTCACATTACCACCAGATCTGCATTCTCCTGCGGCAGAAGGGGGTTGGGAAACTTGGGCCACCTGGGTTCTCCTCCTCACTGTCAGCAGCACAGGCTTAGCCAGTTACCTAAAGAGGGCTCTCCGACAGTTTCTGTCTCTCAAGGACAAGGTATTTATTTCTAATATTAAGGCAAAGAGTGATAAAGACAGGTTCATGCTAGTTGTACAAGACCTTAATCCTCAGACCAAGTGCTATTACTGATGAACCTCAAGTTGTGTTGGGAACACTAACTAAACATGTCCCACCAGCAACTTGTGAAGAGGCAAGATCCTTATCTAGAGATGGGTTCATACACCTCTGAAATGAAACCACCTTGCACTGTAACACAGCAGCTGAGTAATACCACTCGGCTGGGAGAGGAAGTGATGACTCATCCCTGAGTGAACTGGGTGAACAGCAGCAACACACACAGGTGAGCAGTTCCAGAACATAAACCAGGGAGAACAAAGCACAGGTAAGGCCTGATTCATGCTCTGGACAGTGCCAAATGAGGGGATGTGCAGTTCAAATTGACATCCCTGAAATTCTATGCGGTTTATCTGAAATACCCCTTTGCTACTCAGAGCACTGGGGCACTCACAGCACTTTACAACAGACAGGCTAAAGGACGTGGCAGGGTGTGTGGGCAATAACTCAGCAGAGAGCTGAATGCTCATCTGCCAGCTCTCATAGCCCGATCGACAATGCTACAGCAGAAGGGAACCAGGAGAGGAGAAGGGAGGCCTGACAGCCCCCAAACAGCAAAGAGAAGTCAGCTCAGCATCACTCAGGGCTGCACCCACACACAGGCTATAAATATCTGGCTAGGATGCAAGGTGGAATGCGTGGGGGCGAGCAATACAGTACACTTAATTTGGGGGACGTCAGGAAAACACAAAGGGCAACTGTTTACCTGCTGTTGGATCCTCTTCAGACAGTGCCACCAGCGTGTAGCAGGTACCTGGCTGGTTGTACATCAGGGTTTTGGCAGGTACATAGCCAATGACCTCATACCCCTCTGTTGGCTCCATCTGCACCGTGACATTCTCCAGGATCTGATCATTCAGGGTGTTCGTGCAGTCAAACTAAACAGGGAAGGGGAGAGCAGCAACAGCTTGAAGCTGCTAGCTATAGATCTAATAGCAGACTCACTTTAGGCAGAGTGGGAGTGTGGCATCAACGTGTGAACCTCTAGTTCTTTGTGTTTCAACAGTGCATCTCACCATCAGCTGGCTTGTTACAGGGCTCACATGTTCCAGTTCAGTCACAGAGCAACTATGACTAAAAACTACTCATTGAAATGCTTTTGGGAAGAAACTAACACCCTGCAGGGCTCCAGCAAACTTCCCCCTTCCCCCCTCGCACTTAAAATGAAGCAGCACACAATTATCCAATGCCCACCCTCTGCAACCCAGGCAGAAGCACAAATTCAGCAAGGGCAGGGATGTGTCAGCTTCTGCCTGTTGCAGTTCACCAGTCAGCAGGGAACTTTTTCCTCTAAATGTACTTTGTCCTTCCTCCCAGGACAGTAATTCCCAGGTTAACACTTTGCTGTATGGAAATGTGAGTACTGTGTCACCTGTATCTTCTTGCTTGATGCTACAGGGACACAGTGCCCCATCGCAGAAGGGAAGATGATCCTTTGCATGGCTCAAACTAGGGACAGTTTGAGCAAGCTTCAGCAAGCTTGATCATTTCAGCAACTCCAAAATTGCTGATTAGACTTTGTTCCAGTTGAAATGACAAGTCACTTACCCTCATACAACTGCATCTGGTGGACGGACAACAGAAACAAAGATGAACCCCTACGAGGATTGTGTAAGCAGTTCTGAGCCTTCAAGGAAGGAGCTGGCTAAAGACAAAACACTGCTGCTCACAAGCCAGTGTAGGACTCTCTGTGCCTTGAACTCCCTGAGGCCCAGGCAAAGATGCTGGCACATCAATCCTAACATCTCATACGTAGCAGCAGGGTGGTACAGCCAAGGCCAAGATGTACAGAAACAAGCACCTGTACTACACAGGCTAAAGCAAACTGTAGGGGATGAAGAGCTTTCCCCTACCGTGTCCCTTTCATGGGTTCCCTTTTCAGCCTCTCAGATAAAGCTTTACTCTGTTATGCCCAAAGGAGGTGCCTGGGGACCCCGAAGAAAGAACAGAGCTCCCCTTGCCAACTGCTCAGTGAGAATAGCCCCACCTAGTGCCTGTCCGACTTATTTTGGCTGTTCCTGTAACCACGGCTCAGCCACACACACACACGCTTCCTAATTTAATTTTGTGGGGCTCTGCTGCCCTGGATGAGAAACTAAGGACTCCTCATTGCAGTGATGTGCTTTGAACTCAGATATCTCTGAGCTATTTCTTCCCAGTGGAGCTTTTAACTGGTAGGAGCTTATTTTCCAATCCTCTTTCAGCACCACATGCCATAGCTACTTACCTGGAACACCATGTGGCTGACAAATGTGTGCTTGGTGCAACGAACCACATACTCCGTTTCCAGCTCTGTCAGGGCGACAGGCTCTGCAGAAGACTTGAAGAGTGGGCCCAGTCCCCGGAACTCCGGGATTGCCCCCAGTTGCTCTGAAACAGAGGACACAAAAACCATTGCCTTCCCCAGTCCACAGGAAGGTGTTAGCCATTTCAAAGCCCACATGAAAGCTGCCAGAAGCTGCTGCAGCAAGGAACTATCCATCAAACATTGATTAAACATTCACTAGGGACTTTTAAAATTAAAGGCAGAGTCATCCTTTGCCCACATTTATTGCAATCTAGACAGAACAGGACTGCAGGCACCCCTACCCCTAGGAATGACTTAAAGCTGGGAGCCCATGTCACTCTGAAGGGAGATAGGAAAAAGCTAGAGGGGACAGGCAGGCTCACTGAGAGGTGGTATTTCATTCTCACACACAGCTGTAGGAAAGGCCTTGCATCAGTTTACCTTGGAATATTTCTTGCCGTGTCGCTGCCACCTTCTCTGGCTGTACGGTAACAGGGGCATTTTCTGCAGGAGGAAGAAAAAAACAAACACAAAAAACCCAGAAGATTTGAAGGTAAAGAGTAAGAAGTAATTAAATCAGAAAAGAGATTAATGTCTGGAGAAGGGTTTGAGTAAGGAAAGGAAGGGGGTTCATTTCTCATCTTGCTATGGACTAGACACCCATATCTAGCTTCCCAAACACCTTTGGAACTGCAGCAGCTCCAATAAGGATTACTGACTATTACTATTATAAGCAGCAGGACTAACCCAAAACACTAATGTGGGAGCAACCAGATTTGCTGCCCTTAGTCTTTACAGAAGATGTAATCCCACAGAATTCAAATAGAATGGAGCTCAGCAATTTCCAGCAAGCCCAATGCAGTCTGTTGTCTGAGGGCTGGAGCTGCAAGGGAATAACTAGCAGTTTTGACCACCATTCAGTGGACTGTTCCTCACCTGCTCTTTGCTCGACGATAGGAGCTGTTGCCAAAGGAACAGATTTCAAGTCAAAGGGTTTCTCAGAGGGTTCCAGGGTGTACTGATGCAGAGCCCTCTCCAGGCCAGGGATGGACACCGTCAAACCTGGAGAGAGAAGGAATAGGTCACTAAGACCACAGATAATGCCAGCTCTTTGTCACTTGTTAAACCAGGAAAGAGGTGCAGATCTGTTCTGAGGACTTCCTGCATTACCATTCAGGATGTAGCCAGCATTGAGGGCTTTCTGCTTCTGCTCCAGAACATTCAGGTAGAAGGTGGCTCTGTCTCTCACTTCGTTGTCATCATCCATCACACACCTGAGAGAAAAGTGGAAAACTTTCTTCAGTGCAAGGCAGCAGAGTCCACACGAATTAATCCAGGTGACTAAGCCACCTTACAGGGCCAGAAAGAACATGCCATCCATCTACTAGTAATTGTGTTAGAAAAGCAATCATCTGCCACACTTGGCTTCTGTCCACTTTGTGGTGCTGAATGCAGTGGTGATCCCATCACAAGGTCCCAGGTACCCACTGCACCTTCTCAGATTCACAGCTAGAAGAGACGAGACCTCCATGGGAATGCTAATAAGCTCTCAAGTGAACGGAGTTTTTCACCCAGCATGTTGAGAAACTCTGAGGTACAACTCACCTTTTCAGTAACACCAAGATACTGGGTAACATCTCCTCATTCTGTGCTCCAAACTTGGCCAGGGCACTTACAGCACCTGTAGCATAAGTCATGAAAACAGAATTAGAAAGCAAAAAAATAAACTGAATTTTCCTCCATTTCCTATCCTTGATCAAATGCCATGTCAGAAACACTAGGAGTAGTACAAAGCATTACTGTGGCTAGAAAGAGGCAGATGTATTGCAGCGAAGTGCCTGCAAACTTCTGTCTAGTTTCAGAGTCACTGCATATCCTTCCCCATTTCTCAGCTGCAGGCCACCTCTTCCATCAATGCTGCTGCAGGACCTTTGATGTGTAAAAAGATCTGCTCAGGACTAGAGCAAACCACAATCCCCAAAAGCAGAGGTGTTCATACACTGTATTTCCCTGAAGATCTGTCATGGGGCAGACAGCTTTCTGGCTCTGTCTCTTACCTGCCCGGACTTCTTCGTGCTCCAGGACAACCCTGTTGTAGATGAAGCGGATGTATTTGGAGGGGTTGTTCGTTTTGGGCCCTTCCTGCCCCAAAAGGTGGAGGATACGGGTGGCCAGCACAGTGAACTCGCAGTCCTCAATGAATTCACAGAGATGAGACAGGCCTGTCTCTTTGCTCTCCGAGTTCTCCTCAATGATGCTGATGATGCAGTCCACGATGGCTCGCTTGTATTCAAAGCCACCCTAAGAAGCAAAAGGGAACTGCTCAGCTGGAAATGTCAAAGTATTTTAGAGACTCTGAACCAGCCAGACAGGAAAGAATTTCCTTTGAAAGCATCACACACGTCAGTGCTTTTAATCTGTGTTTGAAAGGAGAAGGGCAGTAATGCTGCCCCCACTTTTGACCTTCTTTATACCCAGAGGGCCAACTAATATCCAGGGCCCCTTGCCAGCTCCCTTCAGAATGGCTCCAGTGAAGGGAAAAAAAAAACCCAAGTCCTAAAGAGGCTAAAAGAATCCATTCACCTGAAGGGTTTATCTCTCCTTCAAAATCCTCTGCTGCTAGAATTAGTACATAAAACCAGCCATATGGGAGGAGAAAAAACCCAACCTTCCCCCATTCAGCACCAGACATCTCAGGATGAATCACAAGAGAAATATATTAAAGCTCATATCTGCCACAGCAGGACTCAGAAAACAGCTCCATTAGTGTGGGAAGACAGGCAATTAATACCTCCCCAGGCACACCTCATAACCTGACATGCCGTTAATACCTGGTTATCTTTGGACATTATTTACTACTGTCCTCAATACACACCAGGGGATTAAACAGCACGCTGCCTTCTGCCAATTACACACACAGTGCTGGGCATTTGGGGGATCTTTCTGGAGCTACTTTGGATTAAAAAAAAAAGCTTTAAACCAGAATGGTTTGAACTACAAAACCATATTCAGAATGATACCATCCACCCACACAAAATCTGGGAAAGGAGAACGGTCCATTTTTCACAAGAGCAAAATGAGATGCTCTGGGTTGTTCCCAAACGAGAGGCTGTAATTGGTAGAAAGTGATGTCAGAGCAAGCAGCGGTGCCAGCTGTGTTGCAGGCATGTTAGCTCATTTAGAAATGGCCTCAGCAAACCTCTGTAAAGCTGTCTTTCTGTAATTTATGTCTGACTGAATGCAGAGAATGGTTATAGGTACTCGTGATCCCTTCACTGCCACAGCACAGAGAGCAGAACAAAAGTGGTCCCGTGTCATCAATAAATAGGTTGCTACTGAATCTTTGTGTACAAGACAAAACTTCTTGGAATTTGCTGTCAAAGTATAAAAGAAAGCTGGTTCAAATGTGAAACACACATGGAACTGCCAACAGATCTGCTGTTGCCTGCATTTGCTTTGAGAGTTAATAAACCCCCAGAAAAATCAAAGAATGAAAACCACATTAAAAATATGCCTGGTAGTATGCACATAACTGTTGTGCATAGCTGGCCATTTCTGCCAGTTAGACTGCCAGTCTTTTAGAGAGAGGCTCTGACTGCACAGCATTATCAGTAAAGGCTTGACTCTCACAGGGGCCACCGTGCCATCCTGCAGTTCATGCCTACAAACAAGGAACACAAAGTATTTGTCCTGCAAACTCACCTCTTCCCGAAGCATAGTGAAGAGAAAGTTCATGAGGACGGCGTGCTTGCGAGGGTACTTCTGACACAGAGCATTGATGGCCTGCACCACTACAACCTGGGGGAAAGAGGGAGCAAGTGAAAAAGGATTCTGTCTCACCAGGCAGGAAAAAATAGTGTAATTGTGTCAATTTTGTGCTGGTTCCTAGCCTGGAAACTACAGTTTTGCCTTTACTTATGCAACAAACGAAGTTCCAGGAGGTACAATCCTGGGAAGTGGAAGAGATGGATCTTTATGCACTGGTCAGCCCCTAGCAAAAACCCACACCCACTGGAAAGAAGAAAGAGATCTAATTCTCAAAGGGTGTCTTCCCAGCAGAGAGCATGTGACTTTGGAGCTGGGTGCTGTATGACCAAGGCACAGCTTAGGCCAACAGCCTCAGAGTCTCTCTCTTCTCTACAAATACTCTGCAGCCCAGCTCCTCGAAGCAGCTCCATGCAGGTTTCAGAGTGCACACACAAACATGGATAAAGACCAAGGGGTTTCTTCAGGAAACTCCGTGCCCATCGCTCCCTCCCTCCTCCTCACTTCCTTACTTTGAACTCATCTGAGATTTCTGACATGAAAGAGGAGATCTGCTTCATGAGCCGGTCAATGCTGCTCTCACTGCCCGTTTTCAGCAGCGTGGTGATGGCCAGGGTGGCTATGCTGCGGTTGGAGTCGGTCACAAGGTTCTCCAGGTCTAGATTACAGGCAGTCACAGCAGATGGGTGCTTCATGGCCACCTAGAGCAGAGAAGGAAGAGTGGAAATCACTCAACAGATGCAAAAGGTCCAGCTGGCAAAATCCACCAAGTCTCTATAAGCTCTCACTCCTTCCTGTAAAAATAAATGCTACAGACTGTACACAAGGGTCATCCCAGACAAACAACTAATCTGAGGTTAAAGTAACAAGCTCTTTCTTCCTGCAGAATTGCATCTCTCGCTGGAAGAGCAGCAGTAATAAACCATCTTTTACTATTTTAAACTCTCATTCTCCTCTATATGCTAAGAAAAGCAAGCTATGAACTCCCAACAAAAAATCAGCGAGCAGAACAGCTTTGTGGGTGGAAGCACAGCAATTACCAGACGCTGCTGTTCTGTCTTTTTGGGTTTTAGAGTTTACAAAGCCCAGGAAAAAGCTGGGGCAAAGATTGCCATGGAGCAGGCAAGAAGCAGCATCAAGGTTTGATCTCTGTTTCACAAGCAGCTCCTTCACCACAGGAAGCTCAGAGTAACACAAGACCAGGACTCTTAGAGACCTGTGAAAATGATTGCCTTTTTTTTTTCCTCCTTCTGCAATGTGTTCTTTGAAGTTTTATTTCACTCAGGAAGCAATGAAATGTAAGGCTGTAGCCCAGGGTAAAGCTTATTCACACAAAATCACCACATAATCTGGTGCCCTTTCTCTTCTGAAGTCTGCACCTCCCTGCACATGAGGAGCTGTTCCAGCTCCCAGGATACCAGCTCCTACCTTGTTGAGGGTACGGACGGCTGCGTATCTCAGCGCTGCTTTCGGGGAGCTGCAGAACAGCTGCAAAACTGCAAGGTGGGAAAACCAAAGGCAGATGTTTAGGCAATTTATTATCGAGAAGCATTTCATACCTAAAGCAAGAGTGACAATGAAGAGACAGCAGCGAGCACAAGATAACTACAAGCATGCTTAAGAAGCAACTGTGAATTTACCAGCTTCCTCCCTCCCTCTCTGTTGTCCCCTTTGCCACACATCCCAGCTGACAATTAGCTCTCACCAACCTTCCTCTTTTCCCATGGCACTGCTATCCTTCACTCCTCTTGAAAGACAATTTTATCACCTTGTCAACTTTCCTATTAATTCAATTTGAACTGCTGTTCTCCATTTCTACTCAAACCCTGTTCCTCTCCCAGCGCTGGCCCATGAAGGGCACCCTCCCTGTGCAGAGAGGTGACACACAGCCTCCCCACCTGCCAACAATCCCAGCTCAGGAGAACCTTTGTACTGGACTGATCTGGGAAAGCAGGACCCCAACACCTTGGCTTCTCACACAGTTACTCTCAGTCTAAAGCAGGGAGATTTATCAGTTAGGATTCAGCCCTGTTTCACAGAAACAAGACCCCACCAGTAATCCACATTTCCACACACCAGGCAAATACCTTTATGGGAGCAAAGCTATTCACACACACCACAAGTTCTCAGCAGCAGCATAAAGCAACAAAGGGTACAGCAGCAATACAAGCCTGAAACTACACAAGGTCCTTGTTTCTTGGGACAATCAGCAGGTGTCACCACTGCCAGCCCAAAATCCGCTGGCTACTGCCGTGAGCACCTCATTTACCTGAGACAGCCGGAGCCAGCTCTTTGGCAGTGCAGTTGGGCAGGTTAACGATGGCAGATGCAGCTTCATAGACCACCATCTCGTGCTTGTTTCTCAGGCAGCTCTCGATGAAATCGAACAGGGGGCTATCGCGGCTGAGGGACAAAAAACCATAAGAATTAATTAAAACAAAGGTGCTAACAGAAATGAAGAATGTGGCAGCAGAAATGGGCAGGTCCCATAGCCAATGGAAAGGTAAAAGCAGCCACAGATCCACTGTCTTCAGATTTTGCAGTGGTCATTATACTGTCCTTCTAGCATGCTTGGGCTGGAAGTCAGGTTAAAGGGAACCTCCCTCAGCCCTGGCACACCGAGAGCTGATTACACACACTGTAAGTCTCAGCCACCAGGAAGCCACACTGCACACATGGTACCAAAGAACAGGGATGCAAAACAGTCCAGAGAAATAAGAAAGTGTTCGATGTGCAAGCACACAGACAAGACTCACAGAAGCCACCTCATAACTACCATGAAAGCATCCTGTATTTTCTCTGCTGCCTTTTACCCAACAGTAAGAGAGTAGAATCACAGAATCACACAGAATGTTGGGGA